ATATATACAGTATATCAAATTTTCATATATCTAAAATTTGAAAAATTGGAGGTTTCCATTAATAGCTTCTTCCAGTGGAGGTGTTGCGCTGTGTCGCCCGCCGTGAAAACTGTGATGACACCACAGCTAGCGTGATCAGCCCCGCTAATCATCTGTCATTTATCGAGGATCGGGATCCTCGGGTCCTCCAGAAATTCTTATCTCCAGAAATTCTTATCTTTAATGAACACGGATTTAATTTGGCTTTGGAGACGATTTGGGTGCCTGCAGACTTTATCTTCCATCTAGAGCCAAGTCCCTCCATATGTGCGTGAGAACGTGAAACGTTTTATTAGCAGACGCGGCTGCGCAGGTCCGTGGTGACACAACCATATTAGTGGGATAACATAATTAGGGCATATTGCTTGGAACCTTTGCCATGGGGGGGGAGGGGTGCTGTGAATTCTAGAAGAACCAAAGTGGAGGCCAGAAGTTTTTTTTAAAGTGGGTCTCTAGGAATACATGTTTGCATCCATCACCACATGTGTTATTTATTTATTTATTTTTGTTATTTTATTTTTAATTTTTTTTATTTTATTTTAATTTTTTTTTATACTGTTGGAATCCGACTTTTCTCGATCAGTAATGAGCTGAACATACCTGGGTTGAGTTCAAGGAACATTACTAATCACCCGTATTGACCAACTGAACGTAAAATATATTTTATAATAAATAAAATATTAATGTGGCGCTTATACTCAAACAAATGATTTTCAAAATAAATAAACACCTAAAAAGTCCAAATAATTCAGCCCATTTTTGTGATCACGTGCAATTGATTCCTAACCATATTCATATCCGATATTCCAATAATCACCAACGTGAGTAATAATGAAAATCATTTGTTTGATTAATATTTTATTTATTACAGAATATTATTATTATATTTTATTTTGCTTATCAGTTCAATGTGGCAGCATATTTGTTTGATTAATATTTTATTTATTACAGAATATTATATTTTATTTTGCTTATCAGTTCAATGTGGCAGCATATTTGTTTGATTAATATTTTATTTATTACAGAATATTATTATTATATTTTATTTTGCTTATCAGTTCAATGTGGCAGCATATTATGAGTTTTTATATGTACGCTTTTTAGTGTTTATGATTTACACTTCTATATTCACAGCGCAGTATGTTTTGAGGGTTTTACACCTTAAAATATTTTTTGGGATAAAATGTATTTTGCCCTTCTAGACTGAGCCCAATCCTCCTTCCTTTGCGTCTCACACGCTCCCCTTCCCAGACACTGCAGCTCACGGTGGGCGGGTTTCAGCAGCAGAGGCACTGCTGTCAATCCAGAGAGCTGTGGGCGGGGCTAGGTGTGGCCAGGTGATGATTGACATGTTAAAGTGTAACTCCAACTCCGCTCCACGGCTGATCACCTTCTGGGTGATCGGTGTACATTGCAGGAATGTAACAAAGGTTGTTGCAGAGTCCTACCTTTTGTTATTCTGATGAATTAGCGGTTTGTCCGGGTCCATGTGCAGAGTGAAGGTGAATGACAGGGGACAGACTGTATAATTGTCCATCAGCTGCGGCACCTGCAGGGCTCTAATAAGGAAAATAGCAGGGTCTGCATCCCTACTACACGTGATTAACCCTTTGGGAGTATTTCACATTTATGTTGCAGGGCATGCCTAAAATGTGACTTGTATCTTAGTGCAGACGTCTGGGGAAATCAGTGAGCCAATCGCACAAGCAGGAAATATTTCTGGGGCGGGGCGGTCTGTGCACCACCTGTGTACAGAACACTTCCAAGCCGCCATATTGCGTTTTTCAGAATTACCGCGCTGTGAATATATATTTTTTTAAATAACATCCAATTACAGTATTATTTATATTTTATTATTTTTTCCCCATGAAAGTAAAGTTACCCTTTGACCCCCGGGTTCACATCTATGGGGCCGTGCGGGCCGCGTTTTGCGTGGGCACGAGAGTCCATTCATTTGAATGGACTCCCGCGCCACGCGACATGCAGGGAAGGAGACCCTGAAAACGCAGCCCACAAGCGAACCTCAGTTCTCAGTACAGTTTTCAAGTGCGGGCAAAGTGCCATTAGAACTAATGGCACCCGCCCGCAGATCTGCATTCCTCTGTGCGGGTGGTGCAGTTGCACGGATTTTCGCGCGGATCCGCAGTGGCACCACCCGCATAGATGTGAACCTACGGTGAAGGCTTGTGAATCAGCCTCCTACAGCCACCGTGTTAGAATACCAGGCGAGCTGCTCGGCTCTACTATGCAGAAGAACCTGCTCCTCGGTCCAGCGGTGTCCTCCTTTCGCCGGCCATCTTCTCTCCCCCGGCACCAGCATCTTCAGTCTGGGCACCTGGCTGTGACAGCGTGCAGCTTCACAGCCGGGTGCCCACTGCGCATGCGTCAGACGCGCTGGGCTTTGTGAATGGCCTCATAGTCTTCTGGGACCTGTCACATTCGGGTACCCACCCTCCCTCCCCCTTCCCCGCTCCCCAAAGGTCCGCAGTCTCTGGTCATGTCCTGTACTACAGTGAAGGAAATGCGTATTTGCTCCCCTGCTGATGTTGAATATTCGCCCCTCACAAAGAAACGATCGGTCTAACAATGGAATGTTCGGTGTAACACTGAGAGACAGAATACAACAACAAATTCAGCAGAAATGCGTCTAACAAATGATGACGGATCTGCATGTTCATGAGGGAAAGAAGGATTTGATCCCCTATCATTCAGCAGGATTTCTGGCTCCCAGGTGTCTTTCATACAGGTAACAAGCTGAGATTAGAAGCAGTCTCTTAAAGGGAGTGCTGCTAATCTCATTGTGTTACCTGTATAAAAGACACCTGTCCACAGGAGCAATCAAACCATCAGATTCCAAACTCTCCACCATGGCAAAGACCAAAGAGCTGTCCAAGGATGTCAGGGACAAGATGGTAGACCTCCACAAGGCTGGACTGGGCTACCAAACTATGGCCAAGCAGCTTGGTGAGAAGGTGACAACAGTTGGTGCAATCATTCACAAATGGAAGAAACACAAAACAAGTGTCAGTCTCCCTAGGTCTGGTGCACCGTGCAAGATCTCACCTCGTGGAGTGTCAATGATCATGAGAACAGTGAGGAATCATCCCAGAACTACACGTGAGGATCTTGTCAATGATCTCCAGGCAGCTGGGACCACAGTCACCAAGAAAACAATTGGTAACACACTACGCCGACAAGGACTGAAATCCTGCAGTGCCCGCAAGGTCCCTCTGCTGTGTCCGCAGTCTCTGGTCACCTCCTGCACCGTGTCCGCAGTCTCTGGTCATCTCCTGCACCGTGTCCGCAGTCTCTGGTCATCTCCTGCACCGTGTCCGCAGTCTCTGGTCATCTCCTGCACTGTGTCCGCAGTCTCTGGTCACCTCCTGCACCGTGTCCGCAGTCTCTGGTCACCTCCTGCACCGTGTCCGCAGTCTCCGGTCATCTCCTGCACCGTGTCCGCAGTCTCCGGTCATCCCCTGTACCGTGTCCGCAGTCTCCGGTCATCTCCTGCACCGTGTCCGCAGTCTCCGGTCATCTCCTGCACCGTGTCCGCAGTCTCTGGTCATCTCCTGTACTGTGTCCGCAGTCTCTGGTCATCTCCTGTACTGTGTCCGCAGTCTCTGACCATCTCCTGTACTGTGTCCGCAGTCTCTGGTCATCTCCTGTACTATGTCCGCAGTCTCTGGTCATCTCCTGTACTATGTCCGCAGTCTCTGGTCATCTCCTGTACTATGTCCGCAGTCTCTGGTCATCTCCTGTACTATGTCCGCAGTCTCTGGTCATCTCCTGTACTATGTCCGCAGTCTCTGGTCATCTCCTGTACTATGGCTGCAGTCCATTGGTTCAGAATATTTTCTTTTTGCGCCGAGCTTTGCGAACATCTTTACGGCGGCGTGGGAGGATAGATTTGAGTTTCCCAATCAAAAACCAGAGCTGATCTTTTATCGAAGATTCATCGATGATCTGCTGTTTAGTTGGGATGGCTCTGAATCTAGTTTGCAGCACTTCATGACATAGTTGAATACCAACATTCAGAATATTATAGTCAGCAGGAAGTGAATTTCCTCGACTTAAATATTTTTAAAGCAGGATAATAAACTTGTGACAAAAGTGTATTTATAGACAACGGATAAAATGTAGCTCTGCTCCGAAGACTTTCATTGGGGTGTGATCATTTTTGCAACATGGTCTTGGATAAATTTGTTAGGAAAAATCATTTTTCGTGTGTGCAAATGAACAAATCTTGTGTGCAATCAATGGCAGTGGTGGGAGGATTTTGTAGTACAGTGTCCCGTAGAAAATGTGGATTCTGAAAGGAAAGGTTTCCCGACTAATCTGCTGGGGTGTTCTCATGTATGAGGAGCTCTGTATATATATATATATACACACAGTATCCTAATGATACGATCGAACGTCTTTAACACTACAGCACCCAAGAGAATATTTTTTCCAAAGCAATTTTTCGGTGTTTCCGTCATTAAATCAGACCCATCGCTGGGTTCTGCTTTCCCTTCATTATCTTTCTAACGTAAAATATATCATACTCCCGATACCGGTGAGTGTACCCCCCCCCCCCCCCCCCCATCCCCCATGCTGTGCCTTCTCCATGGATCGTCTTAATTAAATGGCAGCGCCATCTGGGAGATGTGCGTCGCCTTCGTTGTTCTGATGTCACCTCACGGCACGCTTCATTTCATTGCAGATGTCTGGAGATTTAAAGGCCGACTTTAGAAAAAAAAAAGAAAACACTAAATAAAAAATATAAAAATGCATAACCCTTTAAAAGATGAAACAAAAAAGTTTTTGCTGCCTGAATGAGTTTCAGTCCAAAGCGGCCCCTCGCAGTACTCCTTTTCCACCACTAGTGTGGTGTCTTTCAGGTTGAATGACGGCCGGTGTTCTCCAACTCACTTCCTCTGAGCCCCGGACTGTATACTCACGTTCAGGGGCAGACTGACAACTCATAAGGGCCCCGGGCAATAGGGGATCATGGGGCTCCTGTGTCCTTGCCCAAACTCATAAAAGCCTATGAAAAAGGTACCAGGGGCATCTCATGGGGCCCCCTACTGAACCCGGGCCCTCGTAAGAGGGGCTTAGTGATTGGCTAGAACTGGTGCCAAGAGCACAAGCCCCCCTGTGACGGGAGTGACTTTTGGGGGAGGGGAGACCCCTGTCTCATCTCCCCCATGTTCCCATTATGTGTGAGTCACCCTGTGCCTGTTAGGGGTACAGGGTGATCTGTCGTAGTATTGTGTGGTCATGTATAGGTGGGGTGTGGGGGTTGTTCATTGTTTTACTGCCACCTGGTGTATCCCATTGTTCTATTGTGTCTTGCTTGCCTACAAACTATTATGGGATGTATGTGTTCCTGTATTGTTTACTGCCAGGTGGTGTATCCCATTGTTCTATTGTGTGTCCTGGTTTGGTGGGGGGGTGTTTCCGGCAGCCCTTCCCCCTGATGGGACGGCCTGCTGGTGTGTTTCCTGTTCCTGGTTTCCCCGCCCTGTGTATATATCTTGTGTTTGTGTTAAAATAAAGCAGTTCACTTCCTGTCTGAAGAAGTCTGGTGCTGTCTTGTCCTGTATGGTCAGCGGTGGTGTCCATGGATAATGTTCGGACAGGGAAGCGGGAGTTTAACGGAAATACCCTAGCGCAGTCGGGGTCCGGTTCTGTTACACCCCCCACTGTCCTGCTAGAATACTGACCCTCCTGCTAAAGCTGAATCCTCCACCATATTGTGCCCCACTCCTTGGGAATTTCCACACATGTGAGTAGATTTGCTGCACTTTACTGAGGAAATGGCATAACAGTCATATCACATCGACATACTGTGCATTACTCGGCATTGCACAGTCAAATCGCATTTAGTGGACGGTCTGCAGTAGTCACATGTGAAAGCATATTCAGCACCTTTAGCAGTATTAACAGTAGTTCCTTCCACCAAGAGTCATTAGTACTCACAGGACTGGTCTCACTGTACTCACCTCCATAGGTACACCTCCAGGGGAACAGCCTCATTCAGGGAAGTCTTGGCCTGGCCAAAAAGTACTTGTGCAATTCGCCTTAGCACTGCTGCCCGCCTCCATAAGGGCGACATAGTCTGCAGCCAGGTCTTTCCTGGGTGCAGGTCTACTTCTCCCGGCCTCCTGCTCTGTCCGGGGCCTACAGGTGCTGGTTACTTCCACATAGGTGTGGGGTGTCCTATGCCCCGGTGTGTCTATGTGTTCCTCCCAACCCGGCTTATAACAGGGCACGGGCTCACCCATGACAGCCCTGCAGGAGGCTCTACCGAAAAGGGGCCTAACACCTGATGACACCACCTGCTGGAACCAGACACTATTGTGGTACAGAGCCACCTAGTGGTAGACTAGCTAACTGCACCTGCCTACACACTGTTTCTGTGCAGCGGTGAGTACATGCCAGGGGCGGACTGACAACTCACGGGGCCCCCGGGCAATAGGGGATCATGGGGCCCTTGTGTCTTTGCCCACACTCAAAAAAGCCTATAAAAAAGGTACCAGGGGCATTTCATGGGGCCCCCTACTGACCTCGGGCAGTGCCAGAGTGCTTGAATGGTCAGTCCGCCCCTGGTACATGCAATGGGAAGTGTCCACATCACCAGGGCACTGAAAAAAGGACCCTCCCGCACTGCAGTCCCCAAGGACAACTCATTATCCCGCCCATTACATGAACAGAGAATCGGCAAATCAGATTGGACAGTCATGAATGCAGCTCTCCATTCATTAACCACTTCCAGTCCGGACACTTTCCCCCCCTTCCAGTCCGGACACTTTCACCCCCTTCCACTCCGAACATTTTCACCCCCTTCCAGTCCGGACACTTTCCCCCCCCCCTTCCAGTCCTGACACTTCCCCCCCTTCCAGTCCGGACACTTCCCCCCCTTCCAGTCCGGACACTTTCATCCCCTTCCTGTCCGGACACTTCCCCCCCTTCCAGTCCAATTTTCAGCTTTCAGCGCACCCATATGAATTTTTTAGCATTTTTTTGAGACAGATAAAACTTTATTTTGGTGGTATTTATTCACCGCTGGGATTTTTATTTATTTTTGCTATATAAATGAAAAAGTCCAAAGATTTTGAAAAAAAGTGTTTTTCTTATAAAATTTTGCAAATAAATAATCTTTTTTCATAAATCTTGACCAAAATTTATTCCGTCATCTTTTTAGTAAAGAAAAAAAAAAACCCAAATTACTTTATAACCAAAAATTATAATTTTTAAAAAAATATTTTTACATTTTTATTTTATTTTTATATTATAATTTTTTTTTGGTTTTTTTTACATACTGTCACCCAGCAGTACGGTGTCACCATGGTGGGGTGGGGGGTGATGAAGATTTTTTTTTTCAGATTGTTTTTACACCTATAAAGGCAGCAAAAGCAATAATTTCTCCTTCTCTCTGGCTGCATTCTTGCAGCCATTGAGAAATACTGTGCGAGCTGTGATTGGTCACAGCTTGTCACATGGTACAAGGCTGTTGTGAATTGCCCTGTACCATGTGACCTCTGTGATCATTCACAGATTTCACACGTAGTAAGCAATGATGTCAGAAGTGACGTCTTGCTTACTACTATTCATGTGATCACTGATTGGCCAATCAGTGATCACATGATCGGGACCTCACACAGAGGTTCCATACAGCGATCGGACACAGCAGGCACCGACTCGCGGTGCTGTACACTCCCAGGGAGCGTGCACAAATAAAAATGGCGGGTGCCGTTTATGAACGGCAACCCACCCCTGCACTGCGACCATCCGGCCGTTTTATATACGTCCGGCCGGACAGCAAGTGGTTAATGCATCATTAAATGTATTTTTTTTTATGAAAGCAGTGTACATATCCAAATTTAACTTGGCATCTGCCCCTTGTAACCTCCAGTACAACAGAGCTCAGACAAGGACCGAGAGAAGCAGCACAAGGAGCCAATCTGTTGTGCTGGCAGGGAACTTGCTGATAGGAGGAGAGAGCAGAGTGTCGGAGTGATGAGCTCATCACTGTACTGCTTCTCCTTTCACTGTCCAGTCACAAGCTGGGGGTAGGTTTAGGATAACCTGGGCTCTGAGGAAGTGGGTTGTACAATGCTGGCTAAGAGAAGGGAAGAAAGAAGCAGCTCAAGGTGGATGCTCATAGAAGAAGATATCAGAGTGACAAAGAGATGAGATCATCATTGTGCTGCCTCTTCCTTCACTGTTCAGTCACATTCTGGGGTCCAGGGCAGCGTCTGCTTAGAGGAAGTGGTATTCATAAAGCTGGCCAACAGAATCAGGGAGCATGCTGATAGGAGGAAGGAGCAGAGAGACAGAAAGATGGGGATACACAGGCTGGGGAGTGGGTTTAGCATGACCTGGGCTCAGGGGAAGTGAATTGACTGATGCTAGCTACGAGTCCCTGTACTGAATAGCTCAGACTGGGAGAGAAAGAAGCATCACAAACAGCCAATCAGCTTGTGTGCTGACAAGAAGCACGCTGATAGGAGGAGAGAAAAAAGTGACAGAAAGATGATGAGCTCTTCGCTGTCTGGTGTCTTCTATCACTGTCCAGTCCAAGGCTGGGGGCGGGTCCATGACAGCCTGAGCTTAGAGGAAGTGGTTTGAATGATGCTGGCCAGGAAGGTGATGAAAAAATAGATCAAGCAGTCTATCGAATCACTGAATCAGGTGGCTGGATTTGAACTGGTATTGGCTTCTTGCAGTCCCTGTACAGCAGAGCTTAGACTGGGAGAGGGAGGAGCAGCACAAGTAGCCAATCATGTCATGTGCTGACAAGAAGCATGCTGATAGGAGGAGAAAGCAGAGTGACAGAGAGATGAGCTCATCACTGTGCTGTAACAGGCTGGGGGCGGGTCCATGACAACCTTGGGCTTAGAGGAAGTGGTATGAATGACGCTGACCAAGAGAAAGGGAAGTGAGAAGCAGTTCATGGAGCACGCTGATAGGAGGAGAGAGCAGAGAGCTGAGCTCACCACTGCTTAATGGTTTGAATCATGCTAGCCAAGGGAAAGGTGCGTGGAAGCAGCTGAAGGACTATGCTGATAGGAGGAGAGAACAGAGTGACAGAGAAATGAGCTCATCGCTGTGCTGTAAGAAGCTGGGGGCGGGTCCATGACAGCCTTGGGCTTAGAGAAAGTGGTATGAATAATGCTGAGCAAGAGAAAGGGAAGTGAGAAGCAGCTCATGGAGCATGCTGATAGGAGGAGAGATCAGAGAGATGAGCTCATCATGGGGTTTGAATGATCCTGGCCAAGGGAAAGGTGGGAGGAAGCAGCTGAAGGATTATGCTGATAGGAGGGGATAGCAGAGTGAGCTCATCAGTCTTCTGCTTCTCCTTTCACTGTCCAGTCACAGGCTAGGGGGAGGGACAAGACCTATAATAGTCACTCAACTGCAATAGAGAAAATAACAGGTCTCCTGCCCTGCTAGACGGGGCTGTGATGTGTAACAGAGCTGTGTAAATCTGAGGACTGGATGGACAGAATCCCTTCCCCCATGTATGTCATGTACATATTTAGCTTTTTGCGATATGTTCTCATAAACCGTTCCCACCACGGGGATATCTCATGGACGTTCGTGGGGCGTGAATCGCCGTAGTGCGCAGTCCGTAGCGGAGGCTCTGAGCGCAGCTGCAGCACACCTCTGCCTATAGAACCGTGACCACACTGTGTCGCCACCTGTCTGCGGTCTCATTAATTCCCCGTGTGTGAATGGGAGCGGGTGAATTATTCATGGGAAGCGTTCCGCTCACTTATATGCCGCCAGTAATCGCGGCGAAATCCGGCGTGAAATCTGGAACAATAGTGACATCCAGTGCCTGGAACCCTCACTGCAACCTGTGCTCCGGAACTCCGGGGGGGGGGGGGGGGGGGGGAGACTCATCAGATTATATTGATTTTCCCAGCCGGAATACGGTATAGCGCAGGCAAACGCAGCGCGGGGAGACAGAAACACGATCGGACGCAGGACAATGCGCTCCGCGGCGTTTCCCGGCTGTACAGAGTCGCACCAAAAAGACACCAAAGACACTTAGCAAAGGCGAAAACATTCATTTGCCGATCGACTTTCCTGATAATATCGGCCTGTCCTGATGACTGCGACTTCTCGGTTGCATTCACACCTCCGTGTATTCAGAATGTGTGCAAAATTGTGTGCGCATTTCTCACACCATTCACATTCATTTCAATGGGCTGCCCTGCATGCGACAAACGCTTCGAGGTAGCTCATGTAGATTTTTGCACATTAGGACGCAGGACAATGCGCTCCACGGCATTTCCCGGCTGTGCAGAGTCGCACCAAAAAAAAAACCACAAAACACGAAAGACATTTAGCAAGGGCGAAAACATTCATTTGCCGATCGATTTTCCTGATAATATCGGCCTGTCCTGAAGACTGCGACTTCTCGGTTGCATTCACACCTCCGTGTATTCAGAAGGTGCGCAAAATTGTGCGCGTATTTCTTGCAGTATTCACATTCATTTCAATAGGCTACCCTGCATGCGACAAACGCTTTGAAGCAGCTCATGTAGATTTTTGCGCATTAGGACGCAGGACATGGCGCTCCATGGCGTTTTTCCCGGCTATGCAGAGTCGCACCAAAAAAAAAAAAACCCACCAAAGACACTTAGCAATGCAAAAACATTGGCTTGCCGATCGACTTTCCTGATAATATCGACCAGTCCTGAAGACTGCGACTTCTCGGTTGCATTCACACCTCTTTGTATTGAGAATGTGCGCAAAATTGTGTGTGACAAACGCTTCAAAGTAGCTCATGTAGATTTTTGCGCATTAGGATGCAGGACAATGCGCTCCACGGCATTTCCCGGCTGTGCAGAGTCGCACCAAAAAAAAACACAAAACACGAAAGACACTTAGCAAGGGCGAAAACATTCATTTGCCGATCGACTTTCCTGATAACATCGGCCTGTCCTGAAGACTGCGACTTCTCGGTTGCATTCACACCTCCGTGTATTCAGAAGGTGCGCAAAATTGTGCGCGTATTTCTTGCAGTATTCACATTCATTTCAATAGGCTACCCTGCATGCGACAAACGCTTTGAAGCAGCTCATGTAGATTTTTGCGCATTAGGACGCAGGACATGGCGCTCCATGGCGTTTCCCGTCTATGCAGAGTCGCACCAAAAAAAAAAACCCACCAAAGACACTTAGCAATGCAAAACATTCGCTTGCCGATCGACTTTCCTGATAATATCGACCAGTCCTGAAGACTGCGACTTCTCGGTTGCATTCACACCTCTTTGTATTGAGAATGTGCGCAAAATTGTGTGTGACAAACGCTTCAAAGTAGCTCATGTAGATTTTTGCGCATTAGGACGCAGGACAATGCGCTCCACGGCATTTCCCAGCTGTGCAGAGTTGCACCAAAAAAAAAAAAAACCGCCAATGACATTTAGCAAAGGCGAAAACATTTGTTTGCCGATCGACTTTCCTGATAATGTTTTCACCTTTGCTAAATGTCTTTGGCGTTTTTTTTTTGTGGGACTCTGCACAGCTGGGAAACGCCGTGGAGCGCATTGTCCTGCGTCCTAATGCGCAAAAATCTACATGAACTACTTTGAAGCTTTTGTCACATGCAGGGCAGCCCATTGAAATGAATGTGAATACTGCGAGAAATGCGCGCACAATTTTGCGTACCTTCTCAATACACGGAGGTGTGAATGCAACCGAGAAGTCGCAGTCTTCGGGACAGGCCGATATTATCAGGAAAGTCG